TGGAACATTTTTAACCACTCTGTGGGATCCAGAGAAGGACTGCAGCTCATCGCTCTCAAACAGACGTGGACCACCACCCTATACTGGACTCCAATCACCACTTTGACCCGACTGCAACAGCTCTCCCCCCAGCATCTCACTGCAATCACCACTTTTGACTAGACTGCAACAGCTCTCCCACCAGCAGGTTCTTCCCCTCTCCCTTTACTTTGGACTCAAGCGGGGCCCAAGGAACACCACGTTGTTCATGCCCCAGGGTACTGGGTTATACATTTGGGTTTTGTGGGTTAAGACCAATTGTTTGTTTGTATGATTGTACTTACTGTATTATTTTAGTAAATTGTTATTCTGACTTATAACCTCTCCTTTGAGTTGAGTTCATTTCCCCTGCTGGTTAACTCTTAAACCAGCACACTTGTATAGTTCAGGGGTGCATTATAGAAAGCTCCTTGCAGAAGGAGGGTGCTGATATGGGAAGGGTCAATGCCTCCAGCTGCCTGTCTATGGCATTCAAGCTGGCAGCCTGTTGAATTCCACCCTGCTGAGTCTTTGCTAACAGGAAGATGCTATTCCAGGTTGGCCATAAGCCCCAGCTCACCTGGGCACAGACACTTTGTCTGCATGGAGCTTGTCTTTAAATCCTGCAGTAATGCTCTTAATTTTCCCATGCTTGGGCAGGGCTGTGGCCAATTCAAATTTGCCCACTAGTTAGTCCACAAGTTCCAAAGGAAAGGAATGCTGGTGGGTAGGTAAGATCTTACAGCCCAGGGGTATAGTGTTACCCAGCCTAGATCATATGGGATGTTTGAGGCTCTGTGAGGAAGTTTTGTCTTTGCTCTCTGGTATGAATTGTGACCATCAGAAGTGAAATGAGCTGCCTGTGGCACTATGGGCCAGCTGGGTCAAAGCAGGGACTTGAACCTGAGTCCCAGCCATTCCCTTAGCTCTTCCATTATCCTTCTGCACTGCTGGGGTACAAGTTTGCATGTGATGTCCCTGCCCCTGGGGCTGCAGCATACAGGCCATCAGAGAGATGTCCCCTTTGTTGAAACTGTGCATTTGAAGTTAATTTGACTAAAATCACTACAGGGATTCTCAGCTGGCCATAAGTGATTTAGCAAGCAGGGACCTACAGCAATTGCAGGCTGGCCCAGGACTTTTAACTGCAGAGGTGCAACACAGTGCTCTTCCTAGGAGTAACCAGATGCTATTTTTCAAGTCCAAATTAGAAGCCACAAAAGCTAAAGATTCTACAGTAATTTTCTGAAGTGTTTACCCCAAGCTGTTGTACTTGACCATCTCCCAAAAAGCCCTGTAAGAACTGAGGATCCTGTGTAGGGCAAGAGCTGTACAGGCTCTGTAAGAGGGTAAGAGCCTGCATTTTGCCTCTTTTAGTACAAGTGAACAAAGCAGCACAGTAGGGTTGGTCCCAAATCTTCCGTTCAGATTCATAGCAGGGTTTAGTCCCATCCCCAACACTGGAAGTCTGCTCCTGGTTTACCTTCTCAGACAGCAAAGCTTTTCGATTCAGGATTGCAAGACAGATGGGGTCACTTTTAATGTCTTGGAAAGAAAAGAATTCCTGCCGCAGGAGGGCAGTGAGGCTGTGCTGACACAGCAGGAAAGGGACACTGGAGCTGTATTACTGGTGTGGGCGCAGGCTTAGACTGTGACATTAAGATGGTAGCAAAAATCAATGCAACTGTATGAAAATATGCTGCTTTCTACTGGCTCTATCACTGCGATATAGAGGATTCCCTTGTCAGTTGTGCCAGCGTGATCAGCAATAGGCGTGGGGAGAGGAGCTGTGAACTCCCACTTGTTGTCAGAGGGCTGGTACAATTCCACAGTATGGGAGAGAGTCCCCAGCAGTGTCACTCCACCCACAGCGAAGATGCAGTCAGACAGCACATCCACGTGGAAGCGTGTCTGTCGCTCCAGCGTGCTGGCAACCTGGAGCCAAGACATGTTGCGGGGATCAAATCGGAAAACCTAGGATCACAGCAGACGATGGTTAGCAGAAGGCAGGTGGCTGGCTTAGGTCTTGTGTGGCTTCAAGAACTGCTGAATTTTCCCTGGACTGAGGAGGGTTTTGTATTCAGACCTGGACAGGCTTCAGGCACATGCAGGGCCAGCCAGCTGGTGGAGCAGCTCCTTCTCAGTGAAGCTGAAGGCTCAGTTATGGCCTTCCTGCAGGTCTGCAGGGGTCTGGGAGCAGGTTGTGGTCTCAGCTTGCAGCAAGCAGGAGCGCTTCCTATCCCCTCATCCCTGCTGGCATTACCCCAGGGCACAGCAGCTCTGCTAAGGCTTGTTCAGCAGTAAATACCTCCCTGAGCTTGTTCTGGTTAGGAAGCCCTGGTTGCTGAGCCAGGGCAGTATCTGCAGAGCCACAGTGAACGCTGGCCTGGGCTGTAGCTGGCAGTCAGTGCCGCAGCCTGTGTCCTCCAGCATCCTCCGTTCCACTACTGCTGAACTGCCTCTGGCCTCGGGGCCCTGGAAGGAAGCTGCTGTGGCAGCGGAACTCTTGGAACTCAGTACAATGCTGAAATAAGCCCCCTGGAGCATGAGGAAGAAAAACATGCTGGTTTTTCTAGCAAGCTTCCCGAAGCCATCTAGGAAAACAAAATCCTGCACAAGTCTTTTGACTCTCCAGACAGAAGGGGAAGGTCCTGGGAGCTAAAGCATATTTGCCTTTCAAGGGCAAAACCAAGGGAGGAAGAGTTCTCCAGTGAAGTGGGAGGCTGTACCTGTACCTCCCCAGCACAAATCCCATGGCAGCACCAGTGGGGACAAGGGCAGCATTCTTGGGGCTGCTTGACCAACTGATGTGGACCTGGCCAAACCTGCACTGTGAAGTTGTGTACAGGTTAGGATGACAGTTTACAGCAGGAGCAAGGTGAGACCAGGGCAGGGCCTGACTGCTTCCCAGACAGTTTGGAATCTGTATTCTCAAGGGCTTTCAGTACCGCACAGTGCGCAGGGAAATAGGTAGAGGTGGGAGATCTATGGTGGGCAAGAGGAATGATGCCCTCCTCTCCTCACCCAGCCATTTTTCCAAGGGGCTAAAGGTTTCTTGTGTCTCACCTCATTTGATGGCTGCTTTCCTATGGGATCAAATTTGCACTGTCCCCTGATGACAAAGAGGAAGTCGTTGATGATGGCAACACAGTGGTTGTACACTGGCACACAGAGGTCCCCGACATTGTGCTAGGTGCTGCAGCTCAGGTCCACAGCCCACATCTCCCTGCACACACGGTTGTTGGCGGCTCTGCCACCAGTGACCAGCAGCACAGTGGAACTGGAGCAGAGACTCGTACTCTGCATCTGCAGGATGGGCTGAGCATATAGCTGTGAGTGGTAATCCAGAGCCTCTTGCAGGTACCTGTGACAGCTACCTGTGTCCAGCCTCATAAGAGGCATTCCCTTGACATATCTCTGCGGGTCCCATAAAGGAATGAGAGGGAGTCTTATGCACTTGAAAATCTCTGCTGCATCTTTCAGCTGTGCATGGTCATGCTGCAGCCAGCTCACTGCAGCTCTGAACAGTTCCAGCTCAGTGCATCCCTTGGTGTTGGTCCTGTCCAAAATTTCACAAAGGGTTCCTTGGTCCAGGTCTTTCCAGCACTGAGGATCAGCCAGTATCTGTAATGCTGCCCCACGTAGCACATGGCTTTCTGTCTCAGCTCATCTGGTCCAAGTTTCTTGGGGATATTTAGAACATCCAGGCAGTTCTCGCAGTTCAAGCGCCCCTCCAGAAAGCGAAAGCATAGCTTGATCACCTCGCACACCAGAAGGGTTTCTGCAGCTTTGAAGGTCTCCTCAATATTCTGTAGTGAGAGGTTGAGCTTGTTGGAATAGATGAAGTTGAGAACATTCCTCAGCCCAGCAGCACTGACAGCCTTCAGCTGGATGTTACTGTCGGAGCTCCCTGCTCCCACTGACTTTCCAACAAACAGGATCTTGCAGTAATTGCTTGCCGAAGCCAAAATTATCTTGTGGGCTGGAAAGCAAACCCCTTCTGCCTCCAGAGTCATGTCACACAGCGCATTCTGTGAGCGAAGGCTGCTGAGCCCTTCCAGGAGTTTTGGCACGTAGGTGTCGGACATGAGCCTTGCCATGATGGCCTGTGAGCCAAGCAGCATCACTCTGGGTGGCACATAGCCCTGGAGCAGCCCCTCAGTGCATCTCCTAGGCAGCCTTCTGCGCTTGAATCAGCGGTTCCATGCTGCGAGGGGGCTGAGGCTGTGCTGCCTGGCCTGCAGATCCACCTAGAAAGCAGCAGCTGCAGCAGTTTCCTCCTCAGCAGCCCATGCCTGGGGCCTTGCAGCACAAACCACTGGATGCCATGCAGAGCTGCCTGGGGCTGTTTGCAAGTGGAGCTGGTGGTGCTGATTAGCGCACAAATCCACAGTGTTTGTGGGGTTTGCTGTTACACTGGCAGCAGCAGATGGCCACCAGCTTAGCTGCAGTCCTCCTCCTCCTATCTGGTAACTGCCCATCCACACAGAAAGCAGCTCCTGGCTACGCTTCCCTGGCCGCCTGCTCAGCTATTCTTTCATCTGGGCAAGCCTGCACATGCCATGCTTCTCTTTGTGAACAACAGTCAAGCAAAATCCCTTCTGTGATGTGCCACCCTTGGCCCTCTGACTAAATGTGATCAATTCAGGCACAGCTCCTTTCAGGGCAAGGTTGGGAAGGTCTCAGTGGTTGTGTCCTGTTCAATTTGAAGCATTCAACCAGCATCCTGTGCACAGCCTGCTCCTGGGGGTTTGGGCTGTTCCAAGGACTAGTGAGCCACTCACTGGCTTTTGGCAAAAGGAGAGCACCCGGGAGTCCCTTCCTCTCTGTGAATATGACAGAAACAAAGTGCATCCTGCAGCCAGACCTTCGCTTGGTCTTGGCCGTGAGGTTCGTGTGTTGGGCAGTTGGGCTTTTGTGCTGTGTCCCTACCTGGCAGGGGTGTTTTACAACAGGTTTTGTGCTATGTTCCCACCTGGCAGGGGTGTTTTACAACTCTTCCGGCTTGGCACCATGTTATGACATATACCAGCTGTACCGGTCCTGTGCTGACCCCACGGGCTGTGGCATCGGCTTGGATGCGGAGGCTTGGGACTACCAGGTAAGGGGTTAGAGACACCAACGACTTTCAGCTGCTGTCCTGGTTCTCCCCCCGCCCCATGACAGCTTTTGTGCTTCTTTTAGGTTTGCACCGAGATCAACTTAACTTTCAACAGCAACAATGTCACAGACATGTTCCCCGAGATGCCCTTCACAGAGGCCATGCGGGAGCAGTACTGTTGGAACAAGTGGCACGTGAGGCCACGAACACACTGGTTGCAGACGAACTTTTGGGGAGGAGGTGAATTGTGCTGACTGCTCATTCCTTTGTGTTTCCCTGTAGCTGTCTGCCTGTCGCCCTCTGCCCAGCTAAGCCCCATGAGGACAGGCACAGCGCACTAATGGGTCCTGGCAGAAGGTCACAGCCTTGTGCTGACTTGAGCCAAACAGAGGTTTCTGTATTCCCTTAGGACAGAAGTGGAAAACGTAAAAACTGCCAAGAATTTGTTCTGTTCTCCGGTGTTTTCTGTTCTTGGCCATGTTTGCTGCAGTAGCCAAATACATTTGGATAACTGCACAGGAAGGAGACCTCTCAGTTATTCTCTCTCTGGATTTCAGACCTGAGAAGTGCAAGCAACATCATTTTTTCAAATGGAGACTTGGACCCGTGGGCTGGAGGTGGGGTAAGCATGTGCACTCCTGCACCCTGAGCACAGAGCAGCCTTTGCAGGTAACACACTACCCCCTCTTCCTTTCAGAACAACGCTGGCGATCCAGTTGTAGCCCATTTGAGTTTCTGTGAGCAGCTGTTTTATGCTGAGCCACTGAGGAGCCTCAGGACTCTAACAATGGGCACAGAGTAGTGTCCATCAGCCAGGAACACTGATGGAACAAACGTGGGTTCAGTAGTGCAGACATAGCAGGACCTTCTTAACCCCACACTCAGGGTCTGAACCACAACCCGGTGTGTTTCTGTGTCCACATGTGGTCTCAGTGCTGCCGGCCAGGTGCTCCTGGCTCTCTGCAGTCCCAGCACACTTGGTGAGACCAAGCCAGGTGCTGTGAGCAGTGACTCAAACCAGGCATGTTTTGGCTTAGATTCAGCAAAACTTCAGAGTGCTGGCAGGGCTCAAGTTTAAAATTTAAAACCAAAAATGACCCAGAACTGGATTTTGAGCTAGTTGAGCTCCTGATTTAATGCAGAAGTTCCTTGTTCTAGGCTGGCTTGGAATCCCAGCTGCAAGAACAACAGGCTGCTTAGGGTGTGTGGGCCCAAAGGAGACTTATTTCCGACTGCCAGGGCTGGAATCAGCTGACAGTTCCCACTTTGGGGGAAGCCTTCCCTTCATTTGGGACAGGTGATCTGGCTCATTAGGACTGTTAGCTGTGTGCACGATACCAGCCATGCTTTTCCTTAGTCTTGCCCAGATCATGTTCCAGTTTTCAGAACTGATGTCCAGTTCTTCCCAGTAACTTGGTGAGAGCTGGCCTCTGCTCTTTCTCCTTCCAGATAAACAGTAGCCTCAGCCCTTCACTGATTGCACTGACCGTTAAAGGAGGTGCCCATCACCTTGATCTCCGGTAAGTACCAAATTCTCCTTTGGCTGACAGAATTCTGATGCCCCGGCTGTTTGATCGCAGCAAGCCACAGCCCAAAGAACGAGGAGATACTTTGGAACCACAAAATCATAAGAGTTGTTGAGGTTGGAAAAGACCTCTAAGATCATCAAGTCCAACTATCAACCCAACACCACCACCACATTCTCTACTAAACCATGTCATCAACTGCCACATCCAAGTTTTTTTGAACACTTCCAGGGATGGTGACTTAACACTTCCCTGGGCAGCCTGTTCCAATGCCTTACAACCTTTTCTATGAAAAAAATTTCCCTAATATCCAATCTAAAGATCTCCTGTTTCAACTTGAGGCCGTTTCCTCTTGCCCTGTCACTTGATCCCTGGGAGAAGAGCCTGACCACCCCCCCCCGGCTCCACCCTCCTGTCAGGGAGTTGCAGAGAGTGAGAAGGTCCCCCTTGAGCCTCCTTTTTCCAGGCTGAGCCCCCCAGCTCCCTCAGCTGCATCTCATCAGACTTGTGCTTCAGACGCTTCCTCAGCTCCACTGGCCTTCTCTGGAAACACTCCAGCTCCTCAATGTCTTTCTTGTTATGAGGGGCCCAAAACTCAGGGACCTCAGGATTCGAAGTGTAGCCTCACCAGTGCCCGGCACTGGGGAAGTACTTACAGAGGACTGGATACCAGGCTGTTGGCAGCCCAATGTGGAGGAGCAGTCTTCCCCAGCACAGAGCTCTTCCAACCCTCCAGGGATGCTGGGCTGTGCAGAACTTGGCACTCAGCTCACCTACTGTCACTAGATCAGGTTCTTGCACAGGGATTGGCACAAGTGTGTGACACCCTGCAGCAATCAGTCATGTGAAGTCATCTGGTGCCTCCTGGCATTAGCCATCAGCCTTCGGGCCTGGAGCAGAGGGGGAAGCAGCCAGTGATGCAAGGGCAAGCTCAGGGCTCCTGCCCACATTCAGGCTGCTGCCTAAATGTGAAACACAAACCAGTCAGTAACTGTCCTTCAGTTTCCAGGCTCTGTCTGTGCAGGAGGCAAAGAGCTACTGCCCAGTGACTGATGCTGCTTTGCTCTCCCTAGGGGACGCAACCCAGCTGACCCGCCGTCGGTCACGGAAGTGCGCAGGCTGGAAGCCAAGATCATTGATGGCTGGGTGAAATCCGCGGGCAAGGAGTGGGCATGGAAGCAGCACGTGGGAGCTGCAGCGGGCGGCCAGCTGTGAGCCCTCCATCCCCACAGCTCCCAGGCAGTGCAGGTTCTGAGCCCCTCCATCCCCACAGTCCCCTGGGTGGTGCAGCTGCCCCAGGACACAGCAGCCTGCTGAGCTGGGTCCAGGCCGGGTGGGACACTGTTCTCTCCTCTGCCATGATGGTGGAAATTCCCCTTTCCAAAGTGTCCCACCTGCACCTCATTGAGCATCAAAAGAAAAGCAAAAGGCCAAATCACTGACTTGCAGCCAAAACCACACTGTTTGGAGTCCATGCTTGCCTGCTTGAAATGAGCTGTTACAACGGGTAGGAATAAGAAAAGCTTGCCTGGAAGGCCCAAGCACTATCACAACTCTAAACAAGATGGTTGCATGAGGCACCTCAAGCTTGAAGCTAAATTATTTTGAGAGAAAAAGTATTAGAAGACTAGTGGAAAAGCAGAGGTATGGTCATGACTGACACAGGGGGCTCCACTGGTGACCAGTTATCTAAAAACGACTGTCAGCCTCAGCCAGGGCTATGGGTTTGGGGTATTTTGGTTTTAACTTGCCCAGGAGATTCCAGTTGGCGAGATGAAGATTTACACAAACTAATCCTGGTGTGCCATGCTGCCACTCAAGGGCTGTGTATTGGGGACCAGTAAAGCAGACTTCCACTGCGACATTTTCAGAGCTTTTTAAAACAAATTACAAGTTTAATAAAGTGTGTGATATCAAAGTTTATTAAAGTGTGTGATATAATTCCATGGCTTGGAACATATAAACGAATGTATAACCGAAGAAAAAAAGGGTTCCTTCTCGCCTTCCCAGGTGGAATAATGCAGTAACTCATCCACAGAAACATGGATTCTTGCCTACTTGGAATGACTATGCACCAATAATTAGTAGCAAGCATAATTGTAAATGGATCAACTGAGGCAGCCAGTTGATTACTAGGGTTTAATATTTTTGCAGTGATTTTATTACTTTAGTGGAGAGGCCTCCTGTGTCCCCACAGGTTTCCACTGCTTGTGCAGCACAGTCACAGCAGTGCCTCAGCTCTCTGACACTGCCCAAACAGGCTTTGTGTCAGTGTTTGCACTGATGGGCCCTCCCTGGTCACCGGAGGGCTGTTTCCCAGAGCCACTGCTGGTATTTCACACTGTTCAGGTGCTGACACAGGACCCACATACCTCTGCCCTGTTCTTAAGAACAAAAGGCCGAAGCTTGTGCCCCACCCCCCACCCCAGAAATGCAGGAGAGAGCAGGAACAGATGGATCCATTCCTTTGTCAACTGCTTCAGATATGTGTAAATGAAGGACAACATGGAAGACACGATTAGTCAACTCCAGTCCCCAAGAAAGCTGCTGTAAGCCTGCCATTGGCACTACATCTTCAGAAAGACCCAAATCCTCTGTTCATGCAGATGAAAGCCCCCACTGGCCCTGCTCAGAGCTGCCACCATCACTTCTGCTCCTGCTCAAGTTAGGCTTTGTGTTTGTTGCTCCAGCTGTGGCTTATAAAAGGCTGCCACACCCAGCCTTACTGAGGTGCTGGACTCATGTTCATCCTCCATGCTCAGAGTCCTCAATGCGCTGGAATTCAGATTTGCTGTATCCAGGCATTATTCAGGATTAGCACCAAAATAAAAAAAAAAAAAAAAAAAGCAGAGAGCAAGGATTACATCCTGCTAGTATTCCCTTTCTAACAGTACCCTTAAGTCCCACAAGCAGGCACCCAGTGACACCAGCCCAGCAGTGCATGAACACAGCCAGGCTCAGGGAGAGCCTTTTTGGGAAATCACTGCAAGTCACCCCTGCAGTCAGGGTTGGGTTTGGGCTTTGGAGGGAAAGGAGGCCCAGGTGTCTGCTGACCTTCCAGAAGGGCAAGAGTTCTTTAATCTCCTTATACTGGACTACACTGAGCTCCTATTTTCCTCTTACAGATAGTTCTTGCCCCAAAGGAATCCACTTAGCGTGAGGAACACCCGCTGATTGATATGGATGGATGAATAAAAGGCTTTCAGACACCATGGCAAAGAGATAAACATGATACATATGGACTTTCAGTACAGATGAGCAGTGCTAAAAAAGAAACCATGGCAGAAGTCTGAAGCCAGTGCCACCAACATCCATAATGTGTTGAAGTCTTGGGCAAGCAAGCGTGGGATGTAAGTGGAAAACCCTGGTTGTGTGGTGCTGTCTGAGCTGAAGGGAAGAACCACAGCCACATAGCAGCAGTCACTGCTCATGAGCATCATGGGAACACTGCTCCTGGCTCAACTTCAGGGCCACAAAAGGAAAATGGGGTGCCAGCAGGAGTGACCCAGACCAGATCATGGCTGCAGCCCCTCCCCTATGCTCAACAACCCAGTGGGGTTTTTGAACAAAGGCTCGTTTGTTCCATCGTCACATACCAACGTGGCGAGTGGGAGCAACGTGGGAACATTACACAGAACAGGAACCCAGATTTCAGTGGAAGCCTCCAGACTTGGACAGCAATCTCCAGCAATATCACAGAGGCGAAAAAACCCCAAGCCCTTCTTACCAAATCCAAAGTCAGAAAAATCTTAAACTTTCTGTCGAAGCAACAAGCTTCATGAAGCTACCCTGTCCTGTCCGTTTTACTGGTCTTGTTAAATATACTGAGTGTGGCACTGGAAATCAGGAGCTGACTTCCCTGCAGGGCTATTTCTAGGAGCGCACAGCTGAAGGGAAGTCCTAAAGTGCAGGAGAAATTCACAAAACTGTAAATGTGTTACTGCAAAAACCTTTCCTGTTCTTATCCCTCATCACTGCCAATATCACACTGGTATGGAACTGGAAACAAGGTGTACTCTTTGTCTAGTATTTGGAGGAGTAAATACAGGTGTACCTGAACTTGGCAAAATGCGAAACCTTGGAATGCGAAAATCCTGTTACTGGAAAGTCCTGTGAAACACGAGGGGGGCCTCTCAGCCAACACCAGGGACCTGGCAAAACTGCCAGTTTCTATCACCTGTAATGAGAATTCAGCTTTCAGAAGTTCAGAGATTAGATGCTAACTGTGCCCCATCCACCTGCTGAATTTTCTTCAAGCAAACAGGTCTGTATTTTTTTCCTAAGCTGTGGCTCAAAGCCCCAAGTATGAGACTCCCAAGTCCTACAGCCACGCAGCTCTCTGTGGCTCTGCCAGTGCCCGGCTCTGTTCCTCAGTGAAAGCCCAAGGGAACAGTAGAGGCAGTGGGGCCAAGGGTTGTTTTAGTTTAATTAGGCAGGCACTCTTGGAGAGAAACCACTGCAGCTCTTTGTGCAGAAGGACAGAATCCCAGCTCAGTGGTGGCCTTTCCACAACATTCCACTTCAGCCAGGAGCATCCCAGTACACTGAAACATCAGAGCGGGTTACGGACCAGGAAGTTCAGGCTTTGGAACAAGGAACCACAGAGTGCTCAAAGGGAAAACTTTTGATTTTCTGTTGTGCTGGGGGAGCACATCGTGGAACAGTGATGGGCTGTGGAGCTCAGAGACTGACCTGACACAACAGTTTGTTAAGAAAGTAAAAATAAATTAGCAATTAAAATTACCTTTGCAAGAGAACAGGAAGAACAGGTGAGCTTTGTTCAGATTCTTTAGTTTGTGCCATTTCGCATGTGATACAGGGGTGTGAAACAAGCATTTGTTCTCAAGGGAAGCGAGAACTGAACAATATGAACTTCAGGTTTAAAGGCTGAGGACAGTAAAGCCACATTTTGCAGAGATTCCATGTCCCAACAAGAACTAGGTAGAAATCAGTTGGACCAACAGGCTCAGCTAAAAGATATGTTTGGGAAACTGATGATTTATTCTTCTCTCCCTTCCTTTAACTCATTAGGAAATGAATTATTACTCTCAAGCCAATCATAAGGCAAAAATAATATAATGCAGACTCCCGCAGTCCCATTTGTAGAATCGATTACATTAAGACTAATGTAAGACTTTAAGAACAGAACATTTTTGGTAAGCATTTCTATGTATTCCATTTCCTAAGAAATGTCTCTGTTGCCTCAATCAGGCAGCTGTATGGGTGAAACACCAAACCCCGGAAGTTTCACAATCCATAGCACAGTCATAATTAAGGGTTCAGTACTAGCTTCAGTCAAAGGCACAAGGCCAAAGCAACACGAGTCACCAGGACCTGGGTAGTTGCACTGAATTTATCTTTTTTTTCTTTAATCTCCAATTTTAAGATTAGCTTTTAGCCAAAGCTCAGCTGCTCAGCAGCACAAACCTGCTCCACAAACAAAAACACTGAAGGTGTTACCTCCCACATTTCAACAGCACCTTCCTCATTTGCTGTTGTGTCAAAGAAAACAAAAGTACTGGCAACCAATCAGTTGTGCAGCCAAAGGCCACAGTGACTGGATTCCACTGCACATGTATGTGAGAAGCTCATTGCAGGGGTCACTGCTGGCAAATGAGCGGGAGGAACATTAGCACTCTGCACTGACCTGTTCTGTCTTGCCACTCCCAGGATACCTTCGATGACACAAAAGGTGCATTAAATAATCTGTAAGAGTTCTTCATTTCCATAACCCATCATTAGTACATAGAATGATAAATATTCTCTAAAAGACTTAAATAGTGGTCCCAAGGGTAACTTGTAACTCCAGCAAACAAAATGGATCAGCATAAAGCAAAGACGTATCTTACTTTACAAATCAAAGGTTTTAATTACTATAAAATACACATACCTCCCTCAGCCATTCCAGTCAGACTCAATCAGCTCTGTCAGTGGCACTGGTGTTAGTGGGGACTGGACCTCCCTGCTGCCACCTGGTTGTGCCCATCACACCCACTGCCACAGGGGAAAGGGCATTTCAGCGAGAAAAACCTCTTCCAGAAATATGAACAAGCACATTTCTGAGATCTTATCTGTGAATACAGGACTGTCCAAGTAGCTACAAATCCAAAAGGACAAGCACTAAAGAAAGCTCATTTCCAAATTCATGGTTTAAAATCTATTGCACGTATAAAAATGAAAGATTCCAGGGCTCCAATAAGATTCTTAAAAAACCTGGGTCTGCTTTGCCTTCAAGCAACTGAAATGGATTTCTCTAATTCTACTGGGACCTGAAATTACTGTAATACTTTCAGACTGTCTGCTTTTAACACTACTATCGAAAATACTTCTAACCAATGTATTACTAAGGAAAAAAAAACTGAAAATTTCTCCAGTCCAAGAAATTATGAATAACATAAACTGTGCTGTACAGTTGTAAGCTTGAGTCAACAAACACCTCATGATGTGATATCTGGACAGGAAGGGACGGAAGGAGGCTGATAACTAATGTGCTCACAAGCTTTCCCAGTACCCAACCTCAGAAAGCAGCTTTCAGTCAGAATACCTGAGTCTAACTGATGCAAATAATATATAAAATGCACATGTAGTTTCACTTGTATTTCACATTATCTCCTGCATTCCTGCAGATAAGTTAAAAAACTGCAATACCTCTAAAAAATTATATACCACTTTGAGCCAAACCAGCAGCAAATTCCCTTTCACCATTCATTTCAGCCTCAGCTTGAACAGACTGTTCAAAGTGCTCTACAAAAACTAAGACCCTATACAATGGATGCTCTGCTGCTTCTTCCTTCTCCCTAAGGTGATGCAGCACAGCTTGTGAGTTTGGAATGAGATCAGAGTATCAGCAGCAATACTGACAGATTTGCTTCTACATGGGACAGCACTACAGCTCTTTTGTTTATTCCACTTTCCACCTGAACCACTGTCACATTCTGACAAAGGAATGGCTCTGTAATCCAGTGTTTCAGTGAATCCAGAATAAACCAAAAAACTGTAGGCTTATTCTTGCTCTCCAGGAACAACCCTGTGCCCTAAGCTGACTTGCTGCATTCCCAATATATAATGAGCATTTAGTAAGACTGACATAAGTGAGTTCTGGGTCACCAGAGCCCCATGAATGTCGTGGTCCACACTGCAATTACTCTCTGAACCTCGTCATCAGTACTAGGGAAACCAGCTTCATATGGCACGGTTTGTTCATCCCAGAACCAGGGATTAGATTTAAGACTGACATGATTTCTTCAAACCAGAGATGCTTTCCCCAAGGTTTTGTTTGTTGTTTGAAGCCAAAAAAGGTGCAACATAGCATCTCTCCTCAAACCCTGAAAAGTAAAGTGACTTGGAGATAAAAATGCCACCACTGAAAGGTCCAGTGTTGCAGAGTCTATGCTGGCACCCAGATAGGGAGTGGATGAGCCTCCGTGTTAAAGATGTATTTGTCAAGGTTGATTAAGTCTATGTCATCTGAAAACAGCAGAAACATGTATTTGAGTGTTTCTCCAAGGAAGAAGCTCTCCATCTTATCCCGTGGCTCTGGATTACTGGGATTCTGGACATTGTTAATGGAAGTATAACCACCTGTAGGAACCTGTGCCAAAAAAAAAAAAAAAAAAAAAAAAAAAAAAAAAAAAAAAAAAAAAAAAAAAAAAAAAAAAACAAAACAAAACAGAAATTTGTATCTTTACATAATCTAAAATAAATTATTTTTTACTTCCTAACATCCAGATGCACTTGGAGAAGATAAGTGCTAGGAAACAGATCAGCATGTTTTTAATTTTGTACTTGGTTTTCCTTTACTTACAAAGCTTCAGTTATGAAAAACACCAACTCATTGCATTTTAAAAGAAACCACAAAGATAAAATGAAGCATCTATGCTTAAGTTAAAGAGGTATCACAAGGAACATCCCCTTGAAGTTTCTGGACAAACATACAGAAAGGAACTAGCGATTTCTAGGTTAGAGCTGGCCCAAGCCCCATACCCATTTCTTCTAAGAACAGACCATGGACATTTGATGACCACTGGCATCTAGGCCACACTTTCACAGCATATCAGTGATATCTCAACCAGCACTGTAGTCAGAATGAATACAAAACCCCTCTATCAAACCATTAGTGCCATTTTGTGCCCATTTTTTTCTTTGGTAACTTTAATCAGAGCATTCATTCAATCCAGCCAGGTCCTTCTCAACTTCTGAATTCTAAAAGCAACCACAGTAGAGATTCAAACAGCTTCCGAGATGTAGAGACACTCTGGCAGTCTTGCCTACAGCTTCTACATTCCACTTTTTAATCAATGCAATGCAAGTTCTTTCCCTATATGGACTAAGTAGTGTATCTCAAACTGTAAGAAACCAAATTTTTCTATATATTCTTACAAATTTCCCCAAACGTCTCTGATGAATCTTGAAACACAGTAAGATTCCAAAGTTGGTGTTAGAAAGCAAGTGAGCAAATAAAGTCCTGACTGAACAAGGTCACTTGGCCTTACCCGTGTGTATTTATTGAAGTTCTGCAAGATTTCCCAGCCCCAGTCTTGATATTTCTTATCACCAGTGAATCTGTACATATAAAAAAGGCTTTCCACAGTCTCTGGTCGCAGTAAGTTGTGCCTGTCTGCGGGCTGCAAGAGAAAAAAAAGGCAAGAGTACTTCAGACAGGGAATTTCCTCAAGGACACATGCAGGGAGAAAGATAATGATTCCCATCTACTTCTAAGAGTTTGGTATGTATAACTCAGCTTCTAAATACACTATCAGGGTAATTAAAACCAAAGCCTAGGGTACAGCTAGAAGGCAAGGCAGCAAAGGAATTAACTGCTCCACAACAGACCCCATCTCCAATATCTGACCAGGAGTTCAACAGCAGAACAGAGCTACAGAGGAATCATGGAACTGGAGTTCAGGCCAGCTATCTGCTCACCTTGATTTCCACATCTTTGTGGCCCTTCTGCGCATGGAGGTTGAAATGTACGATCTCCGGGCTCAGGCCTGTCTCTACTTGAGCGTACATCTGGTAGCAGGTTTCTATAAGGGCTTCAGCCAACTTCATATGATCAGCATCCAGTCCATTGTGGGCTCCTAGTGCCAAAGTACCCGGCAAGAAGCAAACCAAGTGATCCTGCACGACAAGACAACTCTTACTGCAGAGAAGTTATGCATCAAACAGGTATTTGTGTGTGTGTGTGTGTGCGTGCATCTCTGTCTGTCTGGGTTTATTCTTTCTCTTCTTCAAGACACATTTCTGGTACCTACAACTTGAGGAAAAGTTTTTAACAATCTAATGTAATGCAGCATGAGGCAAGCAGCATTACTAGAGAAATCATTAAATTGGAAAACATCCCAGACTCTGTTTCTATGACAAGTTTCTGGAAAAAAGGTCTCAGGTCAGGGTGAGGGGGAGGAGACTGTCTTTTGGTTTACCAGAAGCATACAATACGTTCCATATCAGCTCATCCAGGGAGTCAGCAGAACCACCTAAAGGTTTGGTTGTCCTCATTCTGGGGCTAGTCCACCACTGATATAAGACTGTAAGAACTGCAGATTGATGTCACATATGGGATTTAAAATGATTCTTAATCATAATTCTTTAAAATCATTCTTTCATTCAGAATGAAAGTTCAGGTCTCATCATCCAAAAAGATAGTAAAACCATTCTGATGCCCCTGTATGAACCTTCAAAAGCTTTGTCCAGTCCTAAAGGAAAGCTGAGGGTTGCAAAGGTAAACATAAACATAAGAGCCA